GCAAATTATACAGGACAAGCAATCGCACCCAGTTATCGAAGGAATGGTTAAAGCCGATGTGCGAGATGAATTGCCTACATCTGAGTTTGCACTAGCCTCAGCCAGTTCGTCCATAAGGCCTATACGCCCGACCCAAAAGCCAACACAGCGAAAAGAACAGGCTGGCCAATATCAATAAATTTGTTTATGCCAATGCTGCCAACGTGGGTGACCCACGACTGGCCCATCCGCACTCAGATATCATTTGTAGTAGCAACTCTGCCACACAAGAAAGACCATCACTGAGCAATAACCAACATGGGTGACCCTTGACTGGTTATTTTCTTGCCTTCCCATGCAGACCCCTCCTTATAAGGTAGACCTAGTCATCGGTGGGAGGGAGGGGGGGGAACTAGCAGGGTTGTAGCTTAGGATGATGTCAAAGTACATCTTTGCCATGGCGTTCCTGAGATTTGCACACTATGTCAACTGTCCCAACATCATGGATGCTATGCCTACATGACATGCGCAGCTCAGCTTTCCTCCAAGTTGGTAACACCAATCTTTCATCTGCCTTGCTTGATGAAAGAAGCTGCAGTTCACCACATAGCGACATCGATCACCCAGCTGACACTGTGCCAAGTCTCTATTGAGGAAACAGAAACCGCCACCAAGTTTTGGAAAAAGCCTGCCACAAGCTCCAAGGTATCCCAGAGGTTTCGCCCCAGCAAATCACTGACCTGGACAATGCAACGCGGCAATTGCGCCAACCGAGTTGCACCTTAGACCGCTGTACAATCTCAGCGAACTATGAAGTCAGTGAAGCACCAAAGGTACTTGTACTACTACCCCGTACGGAGAAAGGTTCCAGCACCTCTTCAGAGGAACACTATGCACAGCTGCCGGATCCAACTCACTATGATGAGCTCCAAGAGCACTAGTGAATGTCCCAATGATGCTGATGCTTGGAAAAGAACAACTGAGTGGACTCTGAACGGACCCTGAGAGTTAGAGGCGCGATCATCATTTCTCACCATAGCCCTGTCTCACACTTCGTTTCACCTTTCGGTTGACTACGTGACGGTGTCATTGCTAGTCTTAGGATTTACAAGACTTGTGAGAATTTATGCTCGCGTGGCTTGCTCTGTGTGATCTCGGGGCTCCTGGCTGGGGGGAGCCCTGGTTTCCGCACAGTGCTGTGTTGCTTTTTTCTCACATCTCTTGTATGGCGGGTTTTTTGATTTGTGTTTCGCTCCTTTTTGTCATTTGCTTTCTCGCCATACTAATCCACTTGATAATGCAAAGCCATTATCTTTAGCAACCGTGCTGTCAGGCCCTATGTCACTTTGCCTTGTTTTTTCGTGTTTTGGTTGCGGTTTGGTTTGTTTTGTGTTTTGTTTTGTTTGGGTTGCTTTTTTGTTTTGTTTGTTGGGTTCTTTCTTTTTCTATTGGCATCGTGACGGCCCATTGGACTGTGTACTGGTCCTATTTCAGCACTGCTTTTGCGGCCCATCTACTCAACATGATGGATGAATTTCAATGCATTAATTAATGAACATGTTGCATGCTAATATAGCGTGTGGATCGACCTGGCGAAAGCCAAGAGGCGAATGGTGGGAAAAAAAAGCATTGAGGCCTGCCTCCAACTTTGTTTCATCCTATATTTTTTTTTGGTTTGCTGCAATTTCCATAACCTTGAAGCCTCGAGGCTTGCCTTGAGGCCGTCCCTTTGCGCCAGCTGCGGCTTAAAATTCTAGCGAGGCAGCACAGGCACCAACTACTTCAAGCTCAGCCTTGCTGGGACATCAACAATAGTATTATATAGTTTCGACTCCCCATGAGCCTCGCTTTGTCCTTGTGCCAATACGTTTTGCGTCCGAGGCGTGGCCTCGCCCAGGCCTCGCCGAGCCTCGAAGCGCCTCGATTGCATGCTTTGGAAACACGCGACCTCTTGCATCAACACAATAGAAAGGGAAAGGTTGTCAGAATCAAGACAAGAAGGTACAAGAGGCTAGTTTTGGGGTTCGTTTTTTGCACCTGAAACGATATGATTTTTGGTTGCGGCCTCCCTTGTAGGGGGCCAATGGGGAACTAGTTGATGAAAAGTGATGCATCCACATTGCATGCAAGAGTACATTATCGTGCAAAAAATCCCCTGGTTGCAGGCTCACAGGCCTAAATGTCACGTGGACAGCTTACGTCGTCAACCCCTGAATTACGTGCACAATTGAACCTCACCAGGGTAACCAAAAGGAAGTGACCACACCTGAAAAGCATGTCCTGAAGCCTTCCCATGGTGACATGTCATGTTGCAAACTGTCGAGCTCCGTACTCTCTTGGGCAAAGTTGGAAAGAAATTGTTGTCGTGGCTTCCAGCTATGCAAATCAGCAAAAAGGAAATTGAAGCCAGGTACTGCGGCCAGTTGTTCAACCAAGCGACTTCGACAGGGTGAGAATCGAAAAATGGCCAGCGGTTCACTTTACTTAGATGAATTACCAATTCAAAAGTGTAAATTCAGAGGTCGTTTCAACATGTCAATTTTTAGCCTGGAAAGGCCATTCATTCATTCATTCCTTCCTTCCTTTCTTTCTTTCTTTCTTTCTTTATTTCTTTTATTCATTCATTCTTTAATCAACGAGTCATTCATTAGTTCATTGATTTATTGCTTCATTCATTCCTTCTTCCTCTCTTTCTTTTATTCATTGATTCTTCAATTAATTATTCACTCATTCAGTGGTTCATTGATTTATCGCTTCACTCATTGCTTCTTTCCCTCTTTCTTTTACTCATTCGCTCTTCAATCAATCATTCACTTCTTGGTTCATTGATTTCTTGATTATTCTTTTTTCAATCGATCATTCACTCATTGGTTCATTGATTTATTGCTTCGTTCATTCCTGCTTCCTCTCTTTTTTTTATTTGTTCATTCTTTGATCAATCATTCACTCATTCATTGGTTCATTGATTTATTGCTTCATTCATTCCTTCTTTCTCTCTTTCTTCTATTCATTCATTCTTTAATCAAGCGTTCACTCATGGGTTCATTGATTTATTGCTTCATTCATTCCTGCTTTCTCCATTTCTTTTAGTTGTTCATTCTTTAATCAATCATTTACTAATTCATTGGTTCATTGTTTTTTTGCTTCATTCATTCCTTCTTTCCTTCTTTCTTTTATTCATTCATTCTTCAATCAATCATTCACTCATTCATTGGTTCATCGATTTATCGCTTCATTCATTCCTTCTTTCTGTTTGTCTTTAATTCATTCATTCTTGAATCAGTCATTCACTCATTGGTTTATTGATTTATTGTTTCATTTATTCCTTCTTTCTCTTTTTCTTGGGTTCATTCATTCTTTAATCAATCATTCACTCATTGGCTCATTGATTTATTACTTTATTCATTCCTCCTTTCTTTCTTTGTTGTATTCATTTATTTTTAAATCAATCATTCACTCATTCATTGGTTCGTTGATTTATTGCTTCATTCATTCCTTCTTTCTTGTTTTCTTTTATTTATTAATGCTTTAACCAATCATTCACTCATTGGTTCGTTGATTGATTTATTCATTCCTTCTTTCCCGCTTTCATTTTTTAATCAATCATTCACTCATTCATTGGTTCATTGATTTATTGACGCATTCATTCAGTCATTGAGGCGGTCAGTCTGTCAGTCAGTTTGTCAGTTATTCAGTCATTTTTGATTGAGTCATTCAGTTATTCAGTGATACAGTTATTCAATCATTCAGTCACTTAGTCATTCACATTTATTGATGCAACTTACAACCTCATATACAAATGTTATTGTTTCTGCATGAGGCAAGCGTTCCTACAGACCATTAATTTCTTATAGGCATTGTGTTTTCCGGGTCATCCACGCAGCAATCAATGAATGACTACATTGGGAAATTATACACAAGGCTCCAACAGGTGGAATCAGGGATTTTTTATCAAGTCAACGGCTGTGTGATGCATGTTTTGGGGTCAAACCATTCGGACTTCATGAAACCCGAAATTAAGACTCTGGAGAAAGGTGGTGTTGACTGAAAAATGGAAAATGCCAAATGGGGACCTTTGGCAAAACTATCTAAACCAAAAGATTTGCGCGTACACCATTTCCAGACACACCCAAAGTGATTGCAGCATGTTTTCCTGGACGTATGCTGGTTGGGTGGCACACCATGCGTTTCGTGGAAAAAACAGGGCATTTTTTGACGGAATCATGTTTGAATTTCAATTGTTGTGAACAACTTGTATGTAGATATTGGTAAATATTTTTTTTTACAAATAAACATTTGAATCGTTTTTTCGTTGCATTTTGAGTTCCGTTTGCTTACTTTTTAAAATTCAATCCACTTGGAATTATATATGTTGAAATTTAACATGATTCATTTACATATTTTACATACGAATCAGTCAACAAAAACAATGGCGTGCTTTTCAACTTCAATTTTCGACGCAGAATCCGCTGCCTCGGAGTTGCGAATGCAACCATTTGGTATTGGAAACGTGGATCCCTGGAATCTTACATCTCAAGATGCTCTCATGCTGAAACCACACATGGAATCTGGATTCTGGGTGACTACAAAATCCAGGCATCACCTTGGTAAAGGAAAAACAACTACATACATAGCAACCCATTTGATGTTTGTGGAATATTCCGTTGAACCCCAGCATTAACCACGGTTCCCATCCCCTTTTTTTGCTGATGATGTCCTCTAAACGTTAAACATGATTAAACATGTGGTAAACCCAACAATAACCTTCCAATTGCAAAATGGTTTCTACCACTTATTTCTGGGAAAAAAGAGAGCATGGTTTACCACATTGTTTGATTTGTTAAACCCGTGTTTTTTTTGGTTCACATTCATCTGAACTTGCCTGAAAATGGATACCCCCCGGAATTCCAATAGCTTTATCATCATTTTTCCAATTCAAGTGACTGGCTCTTTGTGGGTGTCGCCTATTTCCAGACAAAACAATTTTTCTGAGCAGTTCCCATGCCTGACTCCACAAAAACGATGCTTGAGTCGCTGTCATGATCGGGGTTGAAGCCTCCGCCGCTGCAGTAACTTTGGCCCAATTTGTGATCCTGGATTCAGACAACTAACCAACCAATTGGTAATTTTGGGGTACAACTTGTGACTTGAAAAACCATGCTGTATAACTTTGGATGTAAACTTGGGTAGCTGAGCTGAGTTAAATTTCCCCAGATCCAGGGAAATTTCATGACAAACTCCGATGTTGCTGACATTCAAAATCACCACATACCACTATCTCACGATTCACTATCACCACAATCATTATCTCAGGATTCACTATGAACCCTCACAATGAACTGCTCATTGTTTTGGTTCTGTTTGCCAGAAACATCCCATGTTTTGGCTTAGACCCTCTACTGATGTGGCTGGCAAAATCCCCTTTGTTGGATATCCATGATATCTCTACTGATGAATTTTCATTTCTTGCAGGTAAAAAAAATGCAGAAAAACGCATATGGATCTTTCAGGTCCAGATTTAGGAATCCCCCTAAATCATTCATTTTTTTTGAGGATTTTCCATGAAATAAACATAAATAAACCATCCAATGCTCGCTCCGGGGTACCCCCATGACTATGGAACCCCTGTCCTGAGGCGGTGGCCGCCCCCGCTGTTCCGGAGCGGGGCTCCGAGCGCAATGAGGGACGTGGAGGTGGTGGAGCCGTGGTGATTCTGGATGGGTTTATGGGGGTGCATCCCAAATAGTAAATGGTTTATAAAGGTTTATAGCCCATATATATATATATAGATATATATATATATAGTCCATTTTTGAGTGGAGATATGTCCATTCAACCATTCAATGAATTGGCGAGAAAATCTTCACCGGACCAGTTTTTGCCATATGAAATCTGGGGGCGAAAACCCCAGTCCTTGGAGGCACTTGGAGGAAGGCACTGATTTTTCTTACCTCTTATGTTTGGGAACCTAGCAACTAACCTCTTGGTTGGTGAGCTTCATGGCATATATATATATAATATAATATACATATGCACTTCTGATCTGGTCATTGGATGATTTTGGGAAAAACCTTCCCATCAAAACACAATAACACCGTCTACTTGGTACTAGTATATTTACTTGCATTATCATCATTGTCAAATTGGATCGATTGTTGGAAATTGAAGATTGAGTGAAGACATCATTGTATAACTAATACAAACAAAACATTGCAATAACCCCCAGACAATCTGGACCCCGAGAATCCTTCAAAAACAAAAGTAATCTTCCAACCCGCAGTTAGGTAATTAGTGTCTAGCTTGGTTGGGGGAACGTATTTCTTGTTTGTTTTCCTGTGTTTTTTGATGGGGAAATAGTATAATAGTGACAGAGCTGACCAGCCAAAGATTCCTTCCTTTAAATCCAGGGTATGAAATTAGCGGTGACAAATTCTTGAAAATTGGGGGGAGCGACAAACATTGCAATTTCAATGTGGACTTCAGCGTCAAAAATGAACATTCATGGTGAGATAGAATGGGGAGCCCTATTTTTGGACAAACTCAAATGGAGGGAGTTAAAGCAATACACATGAGATCGATATGTGAACAAACTGGAGGTCTTTCTTAGTTATTTTGATTTCGTACTTTCTTTTGGATATCTTAAAATGAAAAACGGATTGTTGACCAGCAAACATAGGGTGCTTGCGAGGTAAATCAACTGGGCACGTCTTTATGGATTAACCTTTAGTGACAAATGTGGGAAGGTCGGATGCTAGAAAGACTAACTCTGGTGCAGGGTACCTAAGATTAATGTTAGTAAAACAATAGTAAGCCACGAATTTTTTGATGGTTTACACCACCCATTTATGGAAAACATGGAGATGGCTTACTATTGCTTTACCCCCCATTAGCCATGTTTTTGTGTAAAAATTGAACACAATTGGAGATTATCAAGATTATATTCCAGTGTTTGGTTGGCTACCTTTTGAGTGTTGGTGAAAATTCCTTCTTTTTTGACGTTGTTCCGAACTTGGAAGCGAACATTTGACGCTATCCTGAGGTTAGGCGCGTCGGTCCCGTGGTCCACGTGCCTGACCAAGGTCAAGTCCATTCACACATTTGGTGCTCGGTTTGACTCTTCCGGTTTCAATGGTCGTGTCTGCACTCCCACCGCTGTGCTGCAGGATTTAACGACCGAATTCGCATTCGCCCCACGTCTCTCCTCGTTGCGGGTGCCTGCATTTAATTAGTTTACGGATATCGTCCGCTCCCTCACAAAACACTTGTTGGCGCGTGCACCGGTCTCACACGCCTGAATGTCCGAGAGAGGGTGAAAACCACACACTCCAAAATTGTTTTGTGATTAACATCCCAACAGACCATTCTGGTCATTTCTAGCATTTGAACATTTTGAACTACATAGTTAGACAATGATTGTCACCTATTTCCTGTGATAAACAGTCTTGTAAGCCAGTGAAACTGGGTGTCAGTCATACCTGGGAGCCAGCAATTCCGCAACAAAAGTGTTTTGAGAGTGCAGCATTACTCTCAAGTGGTCCTTCAACATGTGCAAAAACCTCTGTGAATACAGCAGACCGTTCCTTTGAAAAATGCATTTGTTGGTCTCAGAAAATCAGGCAGTATGTACAGCGGACCTATGAGAACCAATGGTGTTTTCATACCAGAAGAAAGTGTTACATTGCCATATCTTTCAGGATTAATTTGCATTAATCCGGATTAATCCAAAACCAAAAATCACAAAAAACAAACAAACCAAAGATTTGGCAACTAGTCCAGACACCAGAGTAGTTGGGAAAACATTTTTTTTGTTTTGTGGTTTTTTAACCATCGAAGCAGGCAGACAAATGTCCATAGTGTAGGGAATTCTTGAGACAATCGAAGCAGACAAGAGCCCAAATTGTGGGCAACTCACAAACTTTAAACACCGAAAGTGTTTCATCTTACTTACAAAGGGTGTTGTGAACACAAAAAACAGCAAATGGCAGCCAAAAAATATCACCAAAATGCTGTTCTTTTAGCACTAACAACACCCCTTTCTGATCTTAATTGGACAGGAGGAGGAGGGCTTTCCTGCCGCGCGATGCCGGGAAGTCATGTTCGACCAATTCGAACATGATTTCCTTGGCGCAGCCGCCCAGCACTGTGAGTGCTTTATGGCACAGCCCCTCTTGGGGCCTTGCTGTACAAGGTGGCTGGCTCCCTCCTCCTTGCCACTTACACCGCAAATAGTTTTCGTCTAGAGATTGTGTGGGTATATTTGATGATCTTTATATGTCCCTTGATCGCGCCAAAAGCAGCTCCGGTGTGGGCGTTTTTTCCCAGACATGACATGATATTCTGATCTTAATTGGACAGGAGGAGGAGGGCTTTCCTGCCGCGCGATGCCGGGAAGTCATGTTCGACCAATTCGAACATGATTTCCTTGGCGCAGCCGCCCAGCACTGTGAGTGCTTTATGGCACAGCCCCTCTTGGGGCCTTGCTGTACAAGGTGGCTGGCTCCCTCCTCCTTGCCACTTACACCGCAAATAGTTCTCGTCTAGAGATTGTGTGGGTTTATTTGATGATCTTTATATGTCCCTTGATCGCGCCAAAAGCAGCTCCGGTGTGGGCGTTTTTTCCCAGACATGACATGATATATATATATATATAGGAAGTATCAAATAATAATAGAAGTTTTAATTATAAGTGTATAATATGATGTAAATATGTATACTGTATATTTACATGTATAGAATATATAGATATGTAATACGTATATATATATATAAACATATATACAATATATATCATGTAAAATGTAAATATGGTATAGCATATTGAACATATGTACAATATTTTCAACGAAGAAATGAATGATAAAAAATGTATATGTCACAGACAATATTTAGTTTAAATAGTACACACAATAAAAAGTGTTGAAGAACAAAGTGTATAAGAAGTGTACAATATTTAGTATATATAAAGTATATGTCATACATAAATATTTATATATATTGCATTTACAAAGTTTTGGAAAAGAAAAAGCACTAAATGATTTTTGATGTAACATGTATGAACTATTTATTCTTTGCAATAAATCGTTATAGTTAGTAAAAAAGGAAAGATGACAGCCTATTTAGCACATTATACACAATAAAATGGGTATATATATATATATAGAGACAGAGGGCGCCCCGTTCTGGTCGTCGGATCCCCGGCGTCTCTGTATATATATTTATATATATTTACAAAAACTATGATCAATATTCCATACTATAAATATTGTTCCATTTAAAGATATGAAAAATACAATGTATATAGTGCGTATATATATATATATTTCTGTTATATTTTTTTGACATAACATACGATATTCTCAAAAAATGTTGTATATTTTTTTTTGACTTCTATATGTACATATATATATATATCTATATATTGCAATATATATATAAAATCAACACTTAATATGACATATTTGATATTGAACATTAGCACAATATATATGTATATATATATATACATAGATATATATTTAAAAATAGTGTATATTGCAAAAAAAATACATATTAAATACAAACATATTCCAAACAGAATAAGAAATACAATGTTGTATTTTTGTATGAGAAATTTCTTGAATGTACAAAAGGTTTAGAATAAATATGGCAGTTACAATTTATTAAATACATAATGCACGCAATTTAATATATCATACATACAAAATATACTTTTTATAAAAATGCAAATTTTCAAATATATGTATATATATTTACCAAAATTTCAATCAATAATATTGATTTTAATTCTATATATTGTATGTAAATAATGTATGTGACATAAATAAATATAATATAGACATAACATATATTCTATATCTTATTATACACATATTTTTAAAAACAAAAATGAATATAATGTATCTATATATATATATATTAATATTGAATAAATATGACTTGACATGTATATATTATGTAATTTCATATATATATATATTTGTTTTGTCATATATACATTTTTTTTGTATACAAAATATACATTGTATATAGTATATGTTTTATGTATATTTCATTCAATATATATATATATTCTTTTTTATTTTTATACTAGATATTATATAGTTGCTTTTTATTGTATGAATATTTTTTCAATATATTCAACATTTCTTCTATTTTTTTTTCGAAATATGTTAAATAATATGTATATACATATATATATATGTATTAAATTTTGTACATTTTGATCATTTGTATAATTTATTCTTCTTATTACTATTTTATAAATTGTTGATTTGTTTTTTAGTAAATAAATGTATATCTGTTTTTTTTTTGTAATATTTATATATATATAGTTATTCAATATTGAATACATTTTTTGTTTTTTGAAAATATTATGTTAGATATGGTATATGTTACAAATAATATAAATATATACATAATCATATGTTCGGTGAATTATTTATATAGATATTTTATATTTTCATTTTTTCTCAATTATTGATTGTATTGAAAATTGTCACAGGAAGTTGGGAAGCAATCTTCCGAGTTACGGACAAATAGAATTATGAGACTCTACATTACAAAACAATACGTAACATCACATAACAATACGCCACACAGCAGTACATCACACAACGATACATCACACAACAACACGTCACATAACAATACAACACGCAACAATACATCACACAACAATACATCACATAACAGT